TAATGTATATATTAAGAATGTTGTGTTCAGCCCTTTTTAGCATCCCACTGCTGGGCATGGCCCTCCCTTAAATAGGAGGAGGAAAGTCCACCACGCTGGCCAAGTGCGGGTTGGCGGACTTCACATGTCGTTCGAAAACTTGCTAGGTTCTCTCAAACATGCAGGTTTCCTCACGATGTTTTATTTCACCGTAAGACAGGTAATCATGTTGGAAATGATTCGTACATGAAAATATCAATGGTGCGAGACCCGGGATTTGAACCCGCTTCACTCGGTTTCCCAAGCGAGCGCGCTACCACTCGGCTACCAGGGCCTTCAAAATGGGTCCAAATTAAAAAAAAAAGCACGTAAGTCTAGTACGACAGGATATGTTGCGTCTTCTACTGTTGAATGAACTGAATTTCAAAAGATTAAGAACGTCAAACAACTATCAAGTATCAATGCCCGGATAATGCTAGAATTAATTTATATCAGATTTAAATGTTAAATATTTTATATATGTATTGAAGGATTATTATAAAATGTAGATTTTTGAAGATAATTAATTTTATTTTACATATACATAATATAAAAAAAAAATGTTTAGATAAAAAAATAAACGGCTCGTTAAAATCCTTTCAAAAACTACTTGATTCAATGTACATAATAAATTTTTATTTTATATTATAATAATGTTATCCTGTTCGAAATGCCTTTTCTTAATTCATATCTAGTTGTATTTCTAAGTACAATTATGTTAGATATAATTATTATCTAAAATCTTTCATGTTATGCAAAACTTTTGGTAACGAATTCCTATAGATAAGTAATTAATAGGATTAAAACTTTATATACTCGTACATATTTATTAGCGTTTATAAGCGTTTTTTAGCTTCACTTATGTGATCAAATATTGAAGTCCACTTTAAACTATTTGTTGTATCGATTTCAAACATTAATTGTTAGCATTCCGATGACAATACAATAATTTCATACCATCAACTTGAAACTACGAACGACAGTAAAAATACTCAACTCAATGGCTACTTATTTTTTAACCCCCGACGCAAAAAGAAGGGTGTTATAAGTTTGACGTCGATGTCTGTAGGTCTGTGTATGTGTGTGTCTATCTCTCTGTGGCATCGTAGCTCTCAAACGGATGGACCGATTTCGATGCGTCGATGTTCGGTTAATATCGGTCCAGCAGTGTAAGAGATCAGCTCTTTTCCAAAATGATGTAAGGCATTTTAGCGTATGGTTACTCGATTAAGTGTTAATTGTGATTAAGTTAAATAACAATACATTTGCGTAGGGTGTTTTTAAATTTTTTATTTATTCATAGAGTATTGAGTTTGCGATAATTTTGACGAGTCTACATGTACTACAGTCGGTGTAAGAGATATTTATATTTTTTAAACTATAATTAATTATTATTTGCATAGAGCAAATGTGTCGGAGCAAAGCGAGGAAGGGTAAATAATTAATCTATACATATAATTAACTTCTAATTGAGTCAAATTTGTGCTTAAATATATTTTGGAAAATCTTATTGAAATAGTCATTATTTAGAACTTTTGTCTGTCTGTCTGTCAGTCTGGAAACGCATCACGAGAAAACCACTGTACCGATTTTGATGAAAATTACGATGATAATTGGTTATTCGGGTCAATACATAGGATACTTTTTACTGCGGGAAAATATGTCATCCCTGAGAAATCTATACTAAGCGTGATTAATAATAAAATAATAACTAAATAAGGTAGCACTCATATTATAGTTAACTTATAGTTGATATTGCGAATAAATTGATACTATTGATATGATATAGAATTTCGTGTAATGTAGTGATTTTTAAGTGTCCGTTTACATAATGTCTGGGGGGGCTTATCAGGGGCCTTGTAACGTTAAGTCTCTACCGGGTCACCGTGCTTATCTCATATTATTTATATTGTGTGTACGAAAATGTGAGGATAAGGAAATGTATATTTTAATATTGCGAATCGGAATGATATACTCTTGATAAAGATATTCATTTTGACCAACATAAAAGGTAGGAAGTGCTCGATTCAAGTGTGTGTTTTGTGTATGTTTTTTTTTGTTTTTTTTTTTATGTTTTCAAGCTAACACTGGAATAGGTCGAGTGTGATCCCAAATAAATCCTACTAATATTATAAATGCGAAAGTTTTGTTTGTGTGTTTTGTGGGGATGTCCATACATCCTCACAAACTTTCGCATATGTATTAATTACGATATTTTATTATTATATTTCGATTTCCATATGTCTGGATATATGGATGTTTGTTACGCTTTCACGCAAAAACTACTTACTGTATGGATTTTAATGAAATTTTATAATAATACCGCTCATACATCAAAATAACACACAGGCTACATTTTATCCTGGAAAAATGTACGGTTTCCGTGGGATAGATTTATTTTTCTAGTTTAAAATAAATCCTTAGGTAGACTCAATTATTACAATGAATATTTAACATGTACCTAATCCAAATTTTTTACGGCCAAAACTGAAAATACAGAGATATTAAGGAAGACGTAAAATTTAAAGTTAACTTAATCTCCTATTGGAACCTTAACCCATCTTTTATACAGTATGCATTTTAATTTCATTCATATAACCCATGACTCAAGGGGATATATTGGATACTAGCGACTCGCCCTCGCTTCGCTCGGGTTCGTTCCTAGATTGCTGCCCCATACAAATTTCATCCCCATTTTCATCCCCTTAAGGGATGATTTCCAGGATAAAAACTATCCTATGTCTTTCCCAGGGTCTCAAACTATCTTCTTACCAAACTTCATATAAATAACAGATTACCCCCTACAACGTCACAAACTGTACCTCTTTATAATATTTATTGGGTATTAACACCAATTTTGTAAGATATTTTATAAATTTTTAGGAGACTATTAAAATATGTATGAGTATGAGATGAGAGTAAAACATGACTTATAGTTTGTAGTACATTTTGTTTTAGAGTCTTAAAATGTATTAATATTTAATAAACTTTTTAAACTTTCTGGTATAGTACCAGTTTTAGAACTATCTACAGAAATTTTGCAAAATTTTGGTTTTCTCTTTATTGGAGAAGATAAAGGCTATATAACATTACGCTATGACTCCTAAGAGCAGAGAAATGATACATAAATATTAAATAAATTTCGCGATCAAAGCCGGGAAAAACCTAGTAAGCTAAGTTTTTTCTAAGTATGTACTTTAAAATTCATAATATGATTATTTATATTTTATAGTATCCAGTTAAAGCAACTAACAATTCCTAGTAATTTGAAAGAGATCCCGCTGATAAGATGCAACAAGCAAGAAATAAAATATCCTTCATTAAATTAACATAACATCTCACGTCTTATTTGGAATTGCCGAAAATTAAAGCTAGATAATAATCGCACCGGAAGGCAATATTAAAGTCCAGTAGCTAAGTACGTTACAACATCCGCAAAAGAGTTCCGTATAGTCAATATAAAATATTTATTATGTATGTATATATATGTTTGTTTGTTTATTTGTTGGTGAGGAGCTAAATGTTCAGAAGTCAACAAAGCATGATAAGTGGCTCGAGTTAATATACTCGATAGTCGATACTACTCATGCGCTTTTCTTCTTATTGACCAATGATAGTATCCTAAGAGATTTATTCCTATAAGGTAATTAGATTTTTTAATATAAAGTATTGCATATGCGTACGTTTCATATAGTAGGTACATGGACGAATGGTCCAGGGAGAAATCAGGATCGGTCACTAGTATATATTCCATTATTATTAATATTGTAAATCCGAAAGCTTGGATGGATGTTTGTTACTTAATCAAGCCAGAATGGCTGAACGGATCTGGAATCTGGATGAAATGACACAGATATAGATTATAGTCTGAAATAGCAAATAGGCTACTTTTTATCCCGGACAAATGTACGGTTCCCGTGGGATAGATATGTTTTTGTTTTTAACAAAGGACGAATCCGAGCGAAACGAGGGTGAGTTGGTAGTATTATATATACATTTTATATATATTTATTATATATTACATAGGAGTTCTAGAATATACTGCCTTCTATGAATAAATGAAACTTATAATTTTAAGAGTAAAACAAATACCATATCCTCAGTTCTATTTGACTAGCAACAATTCCTTATGTAATTCGTTACTTAATCATCTTATCTATTGAATAAGATTGTACTTATTGTCCTTTACAACCTCTAATCGACCTGAGTACGCCTGACCTTGTACGCTCAAGGCACATCCGGACTCATCAAGCGTAATGGAAGGCTTTCATTTACGAAAAGTACGATTTTACCACCTAGGACCGTTGTATAAGAGCTATATTTACTTGTTACTTCAATGCAGGGAGTTTCTATTATAATTAAAAAATCAAAAATAATATTTAGGAACATTAGAGTTAGGAGTTTTTGAAGCAAATTTTTCGGTAAACAAAGTCTTATGAGATATTTTACTGATTTGATATTGAACTCTAGTTAGAAAGGTTCTTATATTCTGATTAACATGTAAATACAAACAAGTGTTAGTCTTATAACAAAATTTGAACATTGATATTTTTATTCAAAGAGGCAAAAACGATTGCTATTTAAATAGCATTTGACTAACAAGTTCTGCACTCGAAAATTCAAATGTGTTTGATAATTTTCAAGTACACTTTGAGACGAGGAATAAAGTATAATTAAAATAAATAAAACTAGTCGAAAGTACTTGTGTTAAAACAACAAATGCTCAACAAGGAAGCAAATACTTACATATGTGTATTAGGAAATTCGCAGCCCAAAATAGAAGATCGACATAAGATTAATGGACTGGCACACGGAACAAACGTGCATCGTAATTCTTCATAACGATTATAATAACTAACATTGTGTTAAACCAAATACTACTAATGATTACGTCAACACACGAAAACTTCCGAAGACTTCAAGGATAAGACATAATGATAAATATAATTTATTAATTACACTTGCTAACAAAAAATGCTAACCTTTTCTTCCTGGATGCTGTGGCCGCCATTTTCTGAGAGAGGCGTCGATGGTGCGCTGTATCCTTTGCCGTCGTCGTGAGGTGTCATCTGTCGTTGCACATCGTTTTCTTGGTCATTGTGAACCCTGATTTCTTGAAGACCACTCTTGAATTCGGATAGTCTAAGTACGGACGGTTTAATTTCTGGCATGTCATCGGGATGCTCATACCTTCTCAAGTCTGTTAGATTAGCTGCCAGGTGTCTGTGATGGTCGAGAGGTGGAGCTACTCCTATCGATCTCAGGTGCTCAATACTTCTATGGATATGCGAATAATTATCTACTGGTATCTCGGCCATGAGAGGCGAGTTATGGTAATCTAGTCCACCACCGTCTGGTCTATAATCAATAGTCCTTCCTTCCATCATCTTTCTGGATTTATTTAAAATATCCTATCTAAATTTGAAAATAATCGTAATATAATTTGTCTAAATGGTATTTGGCACTATCATATAAAAATATACCGCTTCTGTCTTAAAGTTTCCTTGGTTTCTTTTGCCGTTTGTGTCATGGAATATTTCGAGATCTTTCGTGCGTTCTATCTGTGAAAAAATCAGAGTGTCAATTTCATAATACATAATATCAGATGTCTCCGAAATGCTGTCCGAATAAAGTAGTGTAATTAAATTGTACTATTGCGATAGAAAATTCTAATATATGGCTGTTTATTTTGAAGAGTTGCTAAGCAACTTGCGACACTTGTGTAGGTCTATTTAAAACTAGATTGAGAGAGTAAAAAACTTTATCTTTTTTTTTTCAAGCAGGTGACGAGTGAGCAGTCGCGTAGGTTGTGTCAATGCTCTAGCCCCTAGCCCACATGCCGCAACGAATAAGGCTTCTATAATAACACGGTTTGTACAACCATGTCTACAATGTATATTAATCATGATTTGTTCCGAGTTTTTTAGTAAATCTGCTCTTATTTTCAAGATCTACATAATTATGTTACTATGGACGTTACTATATAAATACGGTTAATTCCTTTTACTTTTAAATCCAAACCGTTATGAAATTTATATATTAAATTTGAAATATATTTTATTAAATATATTGCAAGTAATATATCAGATAAATAAGTATCTATTATGTAAGTGTTATACATTTGTTCCCAAGTGTACCTGTGGATCTGGCCATACACAGCTGTCAAAGATAATAATTGCGCGTACAGAATACACGACCGGCCCACTTTGCGATCGCCTACAAACGGTGTATGGAACCTTGATCTTTATATCAATAGCAATAAGAACTAACAAAATTAAACATATCTCGAGTGTCTGATTTATTGTTTTGCTGATGCTTAGCACTTGGGCCCCACGGTCGATCAAGTTCAAGATTCGTAATCATTACTCGTTTAAAAATAAGGAAGTTTATTTTACAATTTAATAAGCGTTACAAGTTAACAATTATATTTTATTCAAAATACGCGTTTTCATCCATATTTTTTATACATTTCATCTGACTTTACGCTGTATTATTTATTTCGTCAATATGAGTAGTTTAAAGAGATCGCTCCAGTGATTTTTAATTTCGTTTCTTTAGCAATAACTATGATAGGAAGCTCAGTTTTTAAATTTATTTTCATATTGCCAAATACTTTTGTGGCAACTGAAGCGATTAATAGAAGGTTGCCCATTTTTTTTAGTGCAAATTATTTTTTTCCATTATTTCTTGGTACTATATCTAATTAATTGAAGTTGCTGCATTTGCCCTTAGAATATTTATGACATGGAAACTTTATATAAATTAATCACAAAAAATACACGAACGCCTATTATTTTTTTTCAATTTTTTATATTTTATTAAAAAAAATAACAATTAAGTTGATACATTGACCTAAATTTCAAACAAGATCAACTGACCACGTAGGAATTATTATCTTTTGTTATTATAAAGATTATGTCATTCTAAAACAAAACGATAAGGCTGATAAGTTTTTTTTTAACCGGAACTACGAGAATTTTTTTTTTATTATTATTTTGACAGCATTTCAAAAATTCTTAACTTTTTTTTATAATTATATGTATTATTTATAGAACATTTAAAAGTCGAGACAAGAAACATAAGCAGCATTTATTAATATTATTTAAATGAATAAATAATTCTAAGACAATAGCGAATAAGTTATTTCTAAGCGGCACATAATACATACAAAATATTTCCGTATACATAGTTCTGGCTAAATTCAAGGTCGAGTTTGACAGTCAGCGACTAGTCGTCCTACAATTTAAGCCATATAATATGATATATCAGTCGGGGAAGATATTACGTAAAAAGTTTCCCTCGGAGGGGAAGCTTTCCGACCGCCAAGAGTTCTTGCCTCAACTTTAAAAAAAAATTACTCACCTCTCACTATCCTTTAAATCTTCAATTCACCAATATCACCATAATAAATCACAGTTTGTTCTTATCTAAATGTCACTTAAAAATATCACATAATAAAGGTAACACTAGCGTCACAACACGTCCAAAAGGCGACAGTCCCAGGCTTTAAGTCCAAAATATGTCAAAAAATTCACGTGCTCTCGACAAATAAACATTTAAAAAAATCTGGAGAAAAAACGCCGAGTCCGTACTCTTGACCCTGAGGTAAAATTGTGAATGCGGCGTCGTTACTAGGATCCGTATTGCCGGATTTTTTATATTCAATATTTTTGTTCTATATTTTGGTATAGTTGTGGGTATTCCACACGTGAGGTAGCTCTGTCCCTGTCGCACTGGGTGGTTTGCGCGTGCACCGATTGCAGCGAGTTCGCTAGAACATGTGCTTCGACAAAAAGCCGGCTCCTTAGACTCTTCGAAGCGCCGAACAACGGCTACTCTCAGCGACTACAAAAATGCAATACAAAACGCCCGCTCGCCCGCCTTTAGACCGACGCGGCAAAAACGAGACTGAAATTCAGATCTATAGTAGAAAAAGTGAACTACACCGAGCGAGGGGTACACTAACACATAAAATGAAAAAAATCACACAGACGCCAACATCGACAGCGGAGCTTAAAAAATCGGAGTGGGGAATAGTCTGCACCGCTCAAGCCGTATGGCGGCATCTCGCTCGCACGACTGAGGCGCACGCACACACCCGTAGCGCGGTTAAGCGAAAAAAATGTGTACACATTTTTTTATTATTCACGATTTTTATGTGTGTAAGTGGGCTCCGTGCGAGAGAGAGGGAATACGGCGGGCGCACCTTCGTGCTCTAGGTGCGAGGGAGACAGCGCGAGTCGCCACGTGCTCGTCCCTCGGTATTAAATAATAATTAAAATGGCTACAAGACCGGCGATACGAGATATTTGGTAGACGATTTTTTGGCCGAGCTTTTGCCTTTTTGTCGAGCTTTTTGCAAATTCTACGGAAAGGAGGTAATGCGTAATGAATAAGGTGCATACAAAAAATTACAAGTGTTGATTGACACATAATTTTAAGTGTAATGCGCGCAGAATGTCGCGCCGGGGAAAAAAAACCAAGGACGCGGCGCGAAAAAGAACTTATTGATTAAAACAGGGCTGTCATTGACCAGACGTAAATGAGGGTGGTTAATAGTATGCAACGATAGATCCACAAACACTTGCCTTCTTTCTTATAAAATCCAATAATGTATTTAAAATTATTTAAATAATTTAAAATTGCACTTTGGGTTTAAGTTTTGCGCTTATACTAAAAAACTTTTAAATCTAGATTTTTTAAGAACGATTTAAAATAAAATAGTCAATATTTTGTCTATATCTAACTTGTAACTTGCAACTCGAATTAGGCGAATTCTTGTTCTTTGTAATAAATATTCATGCGAAAAAATTTATAAATAAAATATATTAATTTAGCTAACACACATAAAAATACCCTTTATCTTCACAAAATTTTCTTACAAAAAAAATTTTATTGCAAAATCTACTAAGGCACTAACTAATGCTGCTATTAAGCATAATTGTGATGTTCACAATTTAATAAAATAAATCTCTGTAGAGACTAAGATATTCGATTACTTAAGAGAAAACACGCAGTATATAGTGTATCTGGTTGATGCTGTACAGACATTGTGTAGTAAATAACTAGTAGTAGTAGTAAGCAGATATAGAATTTGAATTCTGCCTAAGGTAAAATGTTAAAAAAGATTTCCTTAATTGCCTTTGATAATGTAAAATCGGAAATATCACCAAAATAATTATACCCAAATAAAATAAATGTGTTTTTTTTTAATAAAAACTTTTTATACCGTATATCAACTGCGACCTAATAACACATATAAAAATGCTTAAATTGGAAAATATAGTTCTTTATAAAAACTAAAACATTTGTTGCTTATACCTACTCTACCATAAGAATTATGTACCTATTCAGTTAAAGCTTTATTTCTAATATTTTTAAATTAGTCGAAAATATATCTTCGTTACAAAGAAAACCTTCAATAAAATTTTATTACAGTTCACACTATTCTTTCAAAAAGTGAAAAAAGCGAAAGCTTAAAGCTGCCGACCTATATCTATGCTATGCTATTAAACTAAAATATTCTTTTGTTTGTTTGTATTGGAGGGCGCCCCGGCCAATAACATAGGTACTTCTGTTTTTTAAATAAAAATTTACAATAACAATACAACAATGAATTACTTAAAAAATCTAAATAATACATCAAAAAGCTCATTTTGAATCATAAAATCAGGAAACATTAATAATTATAATAAAATTGTATATCAATACTAATTTTATAAAGTAAATTTTGTGTGTTTAAGTGTAAGACTGGTCTGATTCTGAAAAATCTATCATATTTAGGGAGGTGTATTGTCACTTAATGACAGATTGTTTTATATCCCGATATATCAAGCAGTTCCTGGGACATCCTAATACATATACCTATTGCGTAAAGTTTAAAAAGAAAACATAATGTGAAGAGAGCCTAAGATAATTGTAATCAGTATCAAGTTCTTAAAAAAGTCGTTATAAATGCTGAAATAAGTATATGAAAGGCATAGTTTAGCTTTATAAGTATTAAATGTTTCATACATAGTCATAGCTTACATGTAAAGCTTTTCAATGCTTATAATCTTTATTTAACTCACGTATGTATTTTGAAAGTCTATCTGGTTTGCTTGTACATTTTCTTTACAAGTAGTATTTAAAAAAAAAAATTTTGATAATAAGTAAAGTAAAAATCAATTAACTCTATTCTCAAGAGTGATTAACTCTACTTCCAATAGTATTTTCACTACTTTCATTTGAGAATATAGCATAAAAAATAAAACAAATAATAATATCTTTTTCAATATATCATATCTTATTTTTTAAGGTATATAACACAGTAGTTTCTAAGAAAATAAATATATTACTAAACATATTATGTATAATAAAAGTACCTAAGCAAAAAATGCGCTTAATA